TAGCTCATCTGCAGATTGATCTTACAGTCGTCTTTACTGCTCCAGCTTGTCCTTGTAAACATAATGCACTTCAAACTTACCAGGGAGTGTAGCCCTGTACAAGTCGTTATTCATGTGTACGTGGGCAGTTATCGGACCACGTCCGACTGCAATGTGCTGACTGTAATGTGCCGACTCTTCCGGTATTGGGTCTTTCTGGTGGCCATGCTCCTTTGTATCAACATTCGCGCCATATCCCTGGATGTAGCCAGATTTGTCGGCGCACGCGGGATGCCGAGTGACTTTGCCCACGACAGAAACTTTTAAGTGGAAGTTTTCACTTTGCCGCTTGAAGCAGCCTTCCGCACTGCTTACGTCGGAACTAGTTGAAGGGTTGCCTCAGAAGTTGGCCGTCTTGTTTCCTGAGTGGTGTTCTTCAGTCGGCATAATGAGAAACACCGGATGCCAGATAAGCGCTGCACGTCACGACGCTCCCACGTGATGCGCAGGGAACCGGGACATGACGCAGCTCACTGGGCTGGGCTCACACATTCTGACTCCAAGTTAGCTGGTGGGGCGCTGTGGGCGGCTGTGGACACACATGCCGCCTGACTGTGGACACACATGCCGTCTGGCTGTGGACAAATGCCGCCTGACTGTGGACACATGCCGCCTACCTGTGAACACAAATGCCTACGGACTGGACACACACGCCGCTTGACTGTGGACACACATGCCACCGGACTGGATACACATGCCGCCTGACTCGATGCATACGCTGCCTGACTATGGACACATATGCCTTCTGACTGGATACACACACCGCCTGACTGGACACACGTGCCGCCTGACTGGATACACATGCGGCCTGACTGGATGCACACGCCGCGTGACTATGGACACACATGCCCACTGACTGGATACATATGCCGCCTGACTGTGGACGCACATCTCGCCTGACTGTGAACACGCATGCCGCCTGACTGGATATACATGCCGCCTGACTGGAGACTTGCCCGAGCGTCCTTATTGCTGTGGAAACATATGCTGCCCACAGTAGACACACATGATGCCTTTTGTAGGCATACATGTCGCGTTGTTGCGGGCAAGTGACCGCCATACACACTGCTCCGTGTTCTGTCGGCGTGGCTCTGCTGATGTGCGGTCGCTGGCTCTCTGGTGTTTACCGACTCCCCCACACGCGCTTGCCTATGTTCTGTTGGCGTGACTGTCTGCCGACATGAAGTTGTTGACATGCCTTTTCCTGCCGTCAGTTGCCGCCGACACTCACGCTAGCTAGGCTCTGACATGACATATCCGTGGGTGGCCGCTGTCGGATCACCGACATGGGGCATTGTGTAATTTTCGAGATACCCACCAGGCCATGGCTTTGGACTGCAGTGTTGGCCTTCGTGGCAATATCCATGTCGACCAGCCTATTCTTTCCTGAGCTCAGAGTTCACGGTCGCCTAATTCGCAGATTGTTGGAAGATGATAAAGGACATTGCATCCTTACTTTTCACACGTTCCTCGTCATGCATACTCCGTTCGCTGACGAGGTAGTCAGCTTCAGTGGTCTGACCCGGCCTAACGTGACACCGACCCGACATGCCATATTTGACAGGAATCTGTTACATTTTCACTGAGTTTTGAACTGAAATAGCCATTTTGAAGATTTTTTAATGCAATGTACAGCCATGCGCTGTTTTAAGATTTCCAACCTTGTTCCTGAGCTAGACGCACGCGAGCTTGTGCAGAGTATTTCGCGCAACGTATTTTAAGATCACCCCGCCATACGCCATAGAAACACCACGCGAATGCCCCCATGCCGTTGGCCATGTGCCGCTCAAGGTCAAGCCAAATACGATCGTCGAGTGATTCGTGTCTGTCTCTTGTCAGCCCGATTCGTGGCGTCGATGGACAGCAGCTGGCCAGATAAATGCTTCAAGTGTAAGTTCTCAAGACTCGTCCCGTCTTGTGCTATATAACACACGACTTTGTCGATGGTACTAGTTGTGGCAAAAATGAGGCTGGAGATAGAATGACAATTCATAGAATGGCTGGGAATGAACAGAATGGGATATGCCGTCACCAAGTATGTGAATGCAAGTCGAACGCCAATAAAATCACGGACAAATACACAAGAGCACCACGGGGAGGGACCAAAACACGCGTACATAACGTTATTCCGGTTCAGCAAGCATGTGCCAGCTAACAAGCCACCTCCCGGCGAGTTGAAGCACTGCAAGTCAGTCAGCCCGTCCGCTACAGTTACAATTATCTCACCCGAGTCTCTTAGTAACTGACGCCATACAAACGTTCCATGACTTGAGCAACTATCACATATGGTGAGCATAGTTACCGAAAAGCGCAATTTTATGGCTAGACCAGTCTTTTTTAAGCATACCAGTAGTTACAAGTAAGCTTACTTCATTGTATCTGACGCTTACCTACGTATCTCCGGCTGTGGAACATTCCCTTTCAGAGTGCGGTGGATCCATCGCTAGCCCCTCCCCTGGAATTAAACATCCGTTCCCAGCCAGATGATGTCGCCAACGTAGCGCAGTTTGCCCGCACAAGTCATGACCCGGCTTCGCTCTGAAGAGGTATTTGGTTTCCCGCCCTGTCGGCCTGGAGCCTGAATCCAACTATCTCTCTCTCACGAGCATGTCAACCCAACCCTCCTTTCCGTAACTGATATGACATTTCGGAGGGAGATTCTTCGCTTAAGTGCAAACCCTGCCGCCATCTCTTGGATGCCTTGGGAAGTACGCAAATTGATTCACATCCAAATAACCACCCAGTGTATTGTCATTATTTGGCAGGCGTGGTATTATGAATGGGTTCATTGACTGGTCTGTTGGCTCCCTTTTCGATTGTGATGTTGAACAACGTATTTTACGACCGGGTGTGAGGATACCGCAACTGCAGTACTGTGTAGCAACAGCAACTTTTTAGAGAAATCCGGGCTAAATAGTGTGATTCATCCGTCCGCACTTGGCTCTGCACGCTGTCGATCGGCAAGATAGATGCTAATGCGGTATTCTGAGTCATGTGGGCCACTTTTGTCGTAGTAGTTATGAAATATGTGTAAATATTTAAATGCTATTGCAATGGAATTTTATTCGGTAACAAGTGCACAGTTACCTGTTGCCCGACCGAAGGTGCGCGAGACCCGTGTCTGTGTCCGGACTTAGTCAGCGTGCTGTGTCTGTCTGACTACGTCAGCAAAAACACCCGAAGTGTGTGGCGGGCGAGCTGACTTACTTCTAGTGCCTCAACTTGCCTCAAGGTGGCTTGTTAAGTTATGCGTGATTAATAGACCAGCCGACCGTTATGTTCTTGTGTGTTTGGTCCTTTTTTGTAGTGTTCCCGCATATTTGTCCATGACTTTGGCGATGGTTCCGGCGCTATTCTTGTGTTATCCAATTCCCAGGCTCATATTCGTCGTAACGAGCAGGACTGCGCAAATGCCTGTATTGTGTATCTCAAAACGCGTTTCGTGGTCAAGACCTGCATTTGTTGCGTTGGCTAGTTAAAAGCCAGCCGCTGTCCGTTGATGAGGCGATTGGTGCTGAGGTAATCCAGGCACGAGTAAGGCAATGATCATCTATGTCTTGACCTTGAACGCAGTATGGCCATTGAGGCGAAATTCGTTTGACGTCTCTATGACGTCGCACACCTCTGGGTGACTTTAAAATAGGGAGCTCGAAATAGTCTGCACAAGTTCGCTTGAGTCCAGCTCAGAAACGAGAGAAGTTGATGTCTTAAAAAGAGCATAACTTGGAACAGCGGGGAATGATATTGAAAATGGCTATCTCGGCCCAAAACCCAATACAAATGTGGAACACTCCCTTCAGGCTGTCCTTAAGCTTGCGACGGCTGATCACTCCGCCACGCAGTTTTCAGCAAGAGTAGTACAATTCTTTAAAGGTGTCTTGTAGTCCCTGCAGGAAATTTGCATGCAAGTCATTTAACAAGATTAGAGTTGCTGTTGGACAACATTTGCAAGCCTCGAGAAAAGCTGAAGAACCCGAGTCTAAATTGTGTTCAGAAGTCAATATATTTTAACCAAGGAAAACAATCACAACGAACAAGTTAATGTGGCTGTGTGCACTTGGCCACGAGCTTTTCGAGCATAAACAGTGGGTCCGTTCGGTTCTGGACGATTTATATCAGTCTTTATGTCATATCAGTCAGAAAAGGTCAAGACATGCAGTCGGATGCACAGCATAGGCTCATGTGCCGTCAACAGATTGCAGAGCAGTCTCAGCACTGCCCGACGCATGGGTGCACCAGTGAGGGACCGGAAAACAGCGAATGCCATGTTTTCCGAAACTGGCCACAAATACGACATGGCGTGATCCGATGGAGATTGGGCCGAATATGTTTTGAAAGTTTTTTGTTTATATCTGTTCATTGTGACTGGTATGCACTCAAAACATGTGCGCTTTCGCATGAATTCATTCCTAAACAGCGAAGCTGTAAACCAGTGTGAATTCAATGATTTCCTCGATGAAAAGCTGCCTAGCCTTACCAGAACTAAAACGAGCCGATTTCCGGGACATGGCATGCGCAAATGCCTGTTTGGACTGTAAATAGCAACTCACCTCTGTCTGCTAAGCGGATGAGATACACCATTGGGTCACTAATATCTACTCTTGGAATCCGTTCGCCACGGTCTGGCGTCGTCTGCACGGAGATAACCTTTACGACCGTCGTTTATGACCTTACTCGTCCCACGCCGCAAACGCCATTTTCCTGGTAATATATCCCAGGAGTGGACGCGAAATGAATGAAAGCTTGCCGGACTTGCGTGTCAATTGTTCGAGGCGTTGTAAGACAGCGCGATGGCCCGTTATGTCTTTGTGACAGCTCACCCGCTGGTGGCGTTCAATGGGCTGCTCCCACCGGCCACGTCCCGGGTCCGCGCGCTGTGGCGCCGGGTGCAGAGTTGGCCCTCACACCCGCCCCTTTCTCCACCAGAGACGGACAGCCCTCACACTCGGCTCTTGCTTCAGGTACAAACGGCGTGGAGGAGATCCAGCGCCACGATTTTTTCGCCACCATCGACTGGGGCAAACTGTATCGCAAGGAGATCCAGCCGCCGTTTAAGCCGGCCGTCACTCAGCAGGAGGACACGTTCTACTTCGACTCAGAGTACACGTCACGCACCCCACGAGGTGAGGACCCCGGTACACCCATGCCGCGGCGGGGTGGGGGTGGGAGGCACACACCTCGCGATGTGTACATTCACAACTCGGCAGGAGTAGCGGACAGGTGGCCCGCCGTGGCTCCGTGCACACAGTATCGGGTTTTGCTTCCTAGCTTCCGTATTGACGGGTAGCAAAGGTTAAGGTCGCTGTATGCTTTGACGGCGATGGAGCCATGGACTTTTGCTGCCGTTGTATGCACTCGCACGAGGCCAGAGTGGTTCCAGAGGTGGTGCTGGGCCGGGCTGTTCTCGGGCCTCGCTTGCGGTAATGGCGCGCAGCGGCAGTCATACCATCAGACCGATGATGTGTCATGGTTGCCTTTAGCTTACTTGGAGTGCGTCATCCTATGTTCATGGTTGGATGTGTACCAGATAAGTTAAGCGCACGTGAAAGGTGTGCCCAGGTTCTGTAGTTTCGGAAAACGCTTGAAGCGTGCTGCCCCCGGCGAAAGAAGTATTGGCTCGGCGTGCTAGAGACCTATTCGTGATGCCGGTTGTTGCTGTCGGCCGCGCCGGGCCCCGGTCGCGGCCAGGCGTTCTGACCCCGGCGCACCAGGCCGGCCTATTTCGGTTTGTTGTGACGGTCGGTGACGTCCCTGGGGCGGTGTCCGAGGCACATCGCCCGCCGCTGAGTCCACAACGTCGTCCCGAGAGACACGCGGCCAATCTGGCGCCATTGCGCCCTGGCGTGGCGTCGCCGGGCCGCGGCGGCGACGGCGCGGCGTCGATCTCGGCGCCACCGACGCGCTAATGCGACGGACCCGCCTCAGGAGAAGCCGCCCGGCGGCCAGTTTTGGAAGTCCGCCCCGTCCAAAGTTCGGTTTGGTTTTGTTGTGTCGAACCAAGTCCGTAATGTGATCAGCCGTTGGTGGGATTATTTTAGGATGAAGAATCAGCAGATGTTTGTGAATTGAAAAGCTCGTGTGGGACTATCGAGACATGGTGCACTGTACGTAAGGTGCACCTTACAGCACGTGCATGCAAATATATCTTACACCGGATTTACCGTCCGGTGCCGACAAGAATGAAGGCATTTTGTACAAACTACCGCTTATTTCATTCCAGGACCGTTCTTACCATGCGTCAGTTGATCTTCGACTTACCCTTGGCATGTGGAAAAGCGGCGTTTGGCCGTCGGCCGTGCTCGGCTGATGTGCTTTGGACGAAATATGGTGGCCGGACCCTGCCCTGCTCGCCACAGATTCGCCCGGCGTGCCAGCCAGCGCCAACGCGCACGAGCTCTTCCGGGGCTTCAGCTTCGTCGCGTCCAATGTCAACGAGGAGCTCGGCATGGCGACCAACAACAACAACGGCGGATCACGCGTCTCGCACCCGGCGCTCGCCAACCCCGTTAACAAGGTGCGTGTCATGGGCGGCGCGCTTGCGTGCCCGGCCGCTGTGCCCGGCCGCTGTGCCGAGCGCAGCCGGTGCACAGGCCGCCGGCTCCAGCGCCACCACTCTGTCAGAGATCAGGGCCCTAAGGCCAGACGCCCAGTCTCCGGAACGGGCCAATCGCGCCGGCGAGGCCCGTAAAACGGCGCCCGCGCCACCTGCGCCGCCAGGCAGGGCCGCCGCGCCGCCGGTCGCTTCCGCTCGCCCGGCCGTAAAGGGCCGACCGGCCGACGAGCACTGGTCACCGCCGCCGCCGCCGCCGCCGCCGCCGCCGCCGGCGGGCAGCGTTGCGGCCCCGCTTTCTATGCGGGTCTGAGGCACGTCCGCGCCTGCAGAGCCTTGCCTGGGTAGGCGTACCGGTCAGGCTTTCGCCCACTACCTGGCGGCGGCGGTCGAAAGTGACAGTGCCAAGTCAGCGGGGCGGCTGCGGACGTGCTCTGGACCCCAAGCTTGGTGTAGGGCACAAGCCAGCCTCCTGGCAGAGCTTACTGACCACAAGACCCGCCATCGGAGAATGTTCCGCCTCAGCTGGAGGCTGTGCTATCAATTTGTCGTCGTCGGGGATTGAACGACCACCAGTTAGCAGTGAGCTACGACCCGGAACCGAGCGATGCCAGTCATTGGACCATGCCAGGCACAGCAATGGCCAGTCTCATAAAGCGCAACTGCAACTTGGCCGTGTTTCAGTCGCACCGTTTATACATATTTGCGTCAAACGACGTGGTTTCACTGGCTCGGCCTTTTCACCGGTGATGTAGAGATGCAGGCCCTTCGCAAATCCGATACTTCTCGCCCGTCTACATAAGCAGTGCAACTCCTACACGGCGTGTGTGGTAGTCCTGCTGCAGGCAGCTGTCTGCTAGACGTGATATCGGAGAGCCCAGCGGCGACACGGGAATAGTTGGGTACAGCGCGCGAGAGAGAGATGTCATTCGTCCTGACATTTTCGGCCGTGTCGTTATCACCCGACTCACGCGCCGAGGATAACAGTCACGCGCGCCGGAAAAACAGGCGGTCGCCGACGAAAAACAGCCGCACGGTGCGGAGCCGGTGGTTTGTCTTGGTCCCGGCGGAGCACGGCCGGGGACGACACGTGGGCGGAGAGGGCCTTCGGCGCCGAGCCGGCCTCGTCCTGCCTGGTCACATACCCGGGTTTTACGGCGCTCGACGGGACAGTGTGAGCGCCGGGAAGTCAGGCTGCGCTGTTAACATTAATCTACTTGTTGAAATGTGTTTGAGTTGTTGGGCGCTTCATTACTCGCTGACACTCGCACTGTTTTACAGCTGACCTGTCAGGGTGGTGGTCTCCCGTCTGTTTGGCATGGCCTGCCCGCAGTGTGGTGTCTGCTGCGAAAGCACCTGACCTGTGCGACGGTCCGCTCGTCGGCGTGATGGTCCACCATCCGCGTGGCCTGTTGCTGATATGTTCGGCTGTGGGCGGTGGTCTGTGGGCAGTGCAGGGGTGTTTTGGCTGGGGTGGTAGTCTGCGGCTACCGGTGCGGCGATGGAGGTGCGCCGTCTCAGCGTGGTGGTCTGTCGCCATTGTGCGGTCGACCGTCATTGCCGGCGCCGAGTGTCGGTGTGGTGGTCCATAGCAGTGTGTGCCGGTCCGGCCGTGTCCGTGCGCTGCCACCACCACTCCCCGCTCGCGTCAGTGCCGCCGCCAGCCCGGTGACGCCGGTGACATTTGGATCGGCCGCTCGCGGGTAATTTGGCGGCGCATTGATCGCCCGGCTGGCGGCCGGCGGCGCGGCGGCCGGGCCCGCGTTGTGTGGGCGCCAGGTGCGTGCACGCACCACCCCGGCCCGCGCGCGACGCCGGCGCCGACAAAGCGTACACACGGCGAGGGGCGGCTCGAGCCGCGGGCACGCTCACGGACGGACGCTGTCCGACGCGCCGGTGCGTGGGCACGGCGCGCACCCAGGTGAGCACCATATGTCACGCACAAATAGAGCGGCTCGGACTTGGCGCGTGACGCGCACTGCTCTGGCCGTGTGCGTCACAAGAGCGGTGACGAGCTCGGCGAACTGCTGGCCGCCGCGCACTCCGAGCCGTGCACGCCGGCGGCAATGTCACGCCCCAGACGGAAGCAGACCACTCACTGGCGCACACATGACAGCCACACGATATTAAACCACACCTGGGCGAACTCTATGTGTCATATGTTTAAAACTGGAAACACCTATTTGTACATGTTTTAGTATCCCGCAAGATTTTCTTCGGATATTTGTCCTAAAGCACTTCGCCCGATATTCATATTTAGACAGCCTTCAATAAACATTAGCCCTGCATCCAGCCAGTTGTTCATGGAAAGCAATAACGAATATTAAAACAACTATTATGAGACCTCTCCGTCAAATCTAAACAAATATTAAACAATCTGGTGTGGTAGTTCTGTGAAATCAAACACTTTTGACGGAGAGGTCTTACTTTTGGATGCCTGCTGTGGTTCGGTTTCCATCGATTCAGAAACGGTGGCGCCAGTGACTGCAGCTGCTACCTGCGTGCTGAAATAATGGTCATCTGGTGGGCACTAACAGCGCATAGTTTGTACATGGACACCTTAACGGAACACTTTCGCCCTGCAATATGGAACTAACCACCATTCAAAAATTTACCTATCACAATATTTATTTGTTACAAGTTGTGTTTGTCGGCTAGAACGGATACAAATGGTTTGAAATCTTAGAGCTCGTTTACCATGCCGCTAACATCTGCGAACTGCCGTCTGACTGGGTCCGATACTTGGAGAACTGATGGTGAAAATAGGCAAACGTCTTCCAAATAATACGGTCCTTTCGCAGCGATGTCGAAGAACAATCAGTTTCCCTTGTCAGAGCGATCTTCGGTGCAAACATGATTCAGACTCCTCGAATAGCTCAGACGAACTAGCAAGTGTAAGTCGAAGATCCGGCGGGGCTGTTTCCGAAAAACTGCATCGCCCAAGAATAACTTCACGTGAATATTTCGATAACTGTTGTAACTGGGATTGTATTTCTACCACGGAAGGAAGCTTTTTAGTTTTAGGGGACGTCTTGGTCCTCAATTTTCGTCCCCTTCTCTCTCAATGTCTGACTGAAATCAGCAGCAAATCAACAAGTCACCGACGACCCTAAGAAATGACATAGGCCCCTTGTTTTGGAAAATATATTATCCCTCTCCCACCTCCAGTGAGGTATGAGGCCAAACCTTATTGTAACGTTGGGCGCATGCCTTTATTCATTCATTCCCTCGTGAAATTGGAGTGCCAGATTCCCGTTGGCACATATTCCGTCATACAGGTATGTTGGGGCCACTTGCCCGTTTATCTGCAGCCCCGGGTATTGCCGCTGTAAAGGTGCCTGCTTAGTTACTTACCTGCTCCACGTGTATCTGCGCCGGACACGGGAATCGCCGCCGTCGTTACACCAGCCCAGGGGTGTGCCATCGGGGCGTGTGCGGTCCGGTGTCGGTATCGTGCTGCGTGGCGCTCGTCTGTCGCAGGCTGACCTCGATTCTTCAAAAGTGGCACAGCAAGGTGTCAAGTGCCAAAACGTGTCAAAAGTGTCGCAAGGAGGGGGGCTCCGGTGTCTGGTGGACAGCGGCAGTGACAGTGACAGTGGCGCTGTGCTCCACTAACTGATCATGCAGGAGAGATCGCCAGTTAGATTGCGTCCGCTGTCTGTGGTTAAAGGAATGTTCCACATTTGAAGACACTGAGGCGCAAACATCAGGTACAACGAAATAACCTCACTTGTAACCATTGGTTTGCTTTCGAGTGCAAAAGCCTGCTCTATGCAGCACAATTTCGCCTTGTGGTAAAATGCTGCGTCATAGTCGGATTGCGTCCTGCAACCTTTATATGACGGCAAAACGGCTGCCAAACTAACAGTGCGACATTGCCAGTATAGCGGCGGACGCGTATTTTTTCTAGCACATATACAAATTCCACTCCTAGTAAAACTGTGCTGTGAGGCTACCAGATTGAAAAGTTGCTGGCTTGCGCAGTCATACTAAACTTACGCATCACAAAACTCGTTCACATCAACAAATGACGCTCCGTTCGCTTGACACGCTTGGTGCCGTCTTTCCAGCTCGTGTAAAATGGTCGAAAGTTCGTAGCGGTGCTGGGCACTGCCAGCACTTTTTTTGTTCTCTAAGTCCGATGAAGCGTGGGTCTCTGGCTTTGCTCCCACTTGTCCTGGTTTGTGACTAGGTTGCAACTGAGTCCTGGTCTGACACAAATTTGATCTTGAATCATGAGTCGTGTTAGTCAAGTAAACATAGGCACAAGGGTGCCTCTGAAAGTGTGAAGTGGGACAGAGGCGTGTCAAAATGTTGGTTCCCCTGATGCCTTACCCTTGCCCTGTTGGGGGTGGGGGGGGGGGGGAGGGTCAGTGCGATCCCTTAGGGCTTCTTGAAAATACCTCTCCGGGTGTCGTTCAATCGCGCCCGAATTTTCGGTAGCCTATGGGGCATCTTTTGCACGTGTTTTGACACAAGAAACGCGTCCTTAGCGTTTGTGATTTCGGAGCCGTCGCGGTTTCTCAGGAACACTGCACGACGATCTGCGGCCGGTCGGCCGGGGGCTGGGGAGGGGAGGGGTGGTAACCGGCGAGGCTACGGGACGCGCGCCACTGGGCAACATTGTCAAATTGACCAAGCTATGCATCATAAACATATGGTCAACACACGTAAAAGTATATACCGTTGTTCTCATAATTGAACAAGGAGCACGCCTGTTTCGGTTTCGTGTTGATACGGAGCATTGCACTTGTGTACACACAAGTGTCACTTCCGTGCTCGACACGCGTGATTGTTGTGTGTACCAATGATGTGCGTTTAACAGTAGGGTCTGGGAACGCTTGTAAAAAAACTTCTGTACTCCGGTAGCTTTGTAGCACAGTTTTGCCCGCGGTGAAAGTTGCATGTGTGCCGGAATAAATACGCATAGCGGACGGGCTAACTCTTGCTGTACTTCAACTTGT